TTGTGCTTTGTTCTTTACAATATTCATTATGGTTATGATTTATAAGTTGTACACTGAGACAAAACTGTACTAAATGAGAAAGGTGCACCATCATGAAAGTGGAACGAACTCAGTTGCCTGAAAAGGGTAGTTTGAGCATGTGTGGCCTAAATAAGCTAAACCCCCCTCCCTTACCTTATTTAGGCCATATGTGGCCTAAATAAGCACTCCCATATATATATATACATGTGTGTGTGTGTGAGTGAGTGAGTGAGTGTGTGTCTGTGTGCTTTTGCGTGTGTGCGTGTCTGTGTGTGTGTACAGGTGAAGAAATGGAAATGGATTGGGCACACCCTGAGGAGAGCCCCGACAAGCATCACCACACAGGCTTTGACGTGGAATCCGCAAGGAAAACGTAAGAAAGGAAGACCAAAGATGAGCGGTACAAGCCGAAATGGAAAAGGCGTGGACATCTGCAAGGAAACAGCTAGAAAAGGATACACAGGACAGACTTCGCTGGAGAAGTGTTGTTGATGGCCTATGCTCCACTGGGAGTTAAAAAAGAGCAAGAGAGAGAGATTGTAGACAGACCTATACCATCTCTACACCAGAATCTATCAAAATTTACCGATTTCTTAGGGACTTAATTTTTTCCCCTTGCTTTCTATAGCATGTTGCAGTTTTAGCCTTCATCATAAAAACACACATTTGAACATTGGCCCGACCCATTTTTCTTACAAAGGTTAAACTTCAGTAATTTTTGGCAATATATCAGCTGAAGTATTTCTTTTACATCAATTTGAAGCGTAAAGAGGCAGGGATATAATATTTTGTTTGATTTTTATCAACATTTCAGAACTCTCCGATAGATTCATGTCAGTCCGTCACACAAGTTTTTGAAAAAAAATTTTGACAATACATATACAAAGATGCAGGTTCATTTGTATTTTCCTTTCAGTTCTTCTGCTCCTTGAAACCACTGTCAGTTTTGCTCCACAAGTTCCCATATATGTCGAGAAAAAAAGACAAATATGTGTGACATACTGACAAATGAGAGAGGCAGACTGACTGTGACAGACTGACATTTCACTGTGGGTCATTTCTAAGTTGTAGCAAGAAATTCGGGTGGGGGGGGGGTCTCAGTTAATTGAGCACAATACCTACTCGCTGATTAATTTAAAACAGTCAATCCTCCCAAACATAAATATTTTGTTCAATCATTGTATCATTGTGGTGACTATGTCGGATATGCTACACACAGGCCAACAATGAGTGTCCATAATTGCCCAAAAACCTGCAAACGTTTAAATGAAAAGCAAAAATTAAGGAGAAGAAAAGCCCAAAAATGAAGGAAAGCATGAAGAGTATTAGCTTAAAGACAGGTGGAAGGGAGAGGCTTGAGTGAATTTCAGAAAGACCTGCTTCATTTTAAAGATTGGGGCTTTTTGTATTTGTATAGACGGAGAGAGAAAAGCAAAATAAGGACCATGTCATGATGAAACCCATTCTGCTGCCATCCTCAACACCCCACAACGGTCTAGTCAAAATTTTGAAAGGCTGTTCCTTAATTACTCACATCGCATTCAAAATAGAATGGGGAAAACAAGAGCACTGTTGACAGATCTTAGAAGCACTGATGAGAAAAACTCTACGGGTGAGGTCACAATATTATGTAAGACAAATAGAATATGTCCCTGTCTTCTAAAGTGGAGACAACTGTTATGGCCTTTTATACCGATAACGAGACAAGTTGGCAGGCACCTAGCAAAAAGGGCTTCATCCTTGTGAAGGAACAAGGACAGAAGAAGCAACCAATAAGCTACAAGTACATGCTTGCCCAGACTCTTAGACCATCATATTGTTTATAATTTTTTTTTAAATCATTATTGTTGTTATTATCATCATCATCATCATGTTATTATTATTATTATTATTATTATTATTATTAT